CTTTTCAACCATTTGAACCAATCGATTCTCCTTTACCTTTAAGCCTCTTGGAGATGATTGCTGGCTACCCCAGCTTCTCCTCGTCTCTGTAGCCAGCACCCTGCACAGGTGTGGCACAGACCGGGAGCTCAGCGAATGGTTCCAAATGAACCAATAAAAGTGTGGCTGGATGTATAACCTTTGAAGTATTTTTAGGAGTAAACTTTGTTTCCACAAATAAAACCTTATCTAAAGCAAATGAAAGTGATTCTACAGACACTTACATATTCGTTGCTTACTAAAAACTGTTTCCTTGTTTAAGGATCATCGGAAGTCTCTGAAATCGACACGGCTAGGTTTGTTCCTTCATCCCACATAGAGCTATGGAGCATCTCTTGTGTGCCAGTGCTTGAGAGAGAGTAGTGTGTCAGAAAGACGCCAAACACACCCCTGCCCTGTGGCGCTTGCATTGGTGGGGAAGAAAATAAAAAGGTAAATCGCAGTCTGATGGGAGATCATCTCAGATACTGATCAGAGCTCTGAGAACAAGCAAACGGGGGCTGCGAGGGCATGCGGTGTGAAGGGGTGCTTTAGGCAGAGGCGTCAGGGGCCGCCTCTCTGAGAAAGGAACGTCCCAGCCAAGACAAAAGCCGGAGAAGGAGCAACCCGGGGAAGGGCTGGTGGATGAGCATTGCAGATGGCTGGTGCGTAGGGAGGGAGTCCCTTGAGGCTTGGCCCCCTGAGATTCTAAAGAGGCAGGCAGGTAGAATGTGAAAGGCCTGGGGCTGCAGCCTGTCGGTCCTGCTCTGCCGCTCACTTGCTGTGCAATCTCTACCAGTCTCTTGCCCTCTCTGGGCTTCATTTCATGATCTAAACACTGAGAGAAGGTCTGACGACACAATTCCTCAGAGCTGGTCCAACTGCGATGTTCTGTGGGCATCTAACAAGACACTTGGGCAAAGCACAGGACGTGCTCTCTCAAGGTTTTCAGTCCAAAAGGACAGAAGACCAAGGGGCAGAGTCCATCCAGGCAGCGCCCTCTGCGGCTCTGACAGCTTTGTTGCTGCAAAACGAAGAGGTTCTCCTGTCTGCCATCCCTGTCTGCAGGAACAGAACCAGGTGGCAAAAACCCAGGGCACTCTGCTGAGCTGTCAGCAGCCCTCCGACAGGCTGCAGCCTTGGAAATAAATGGTCCCGTCAGCTGCCGAGGAGGGTGAGCTCAGGATTTCACATGAAAATGAAGTAAGAGGGAACACAGCCCAGAAGCAATGCGAAGCAACAACAAGGGTACCAAAATCTTCCACTGCAGCAAGAGGGATGCTCCGTGGTGCAATGGGGTACTGACCTCAGACGTGAGGACACTAGGGAGATGAGCTCATAGCCGGGGGCTGGCTAGTGGGCCCCGTGCTTCTGGGATCCATGGGCTGCTTGAGGGGACCTGGTCTGGGCTGGCAGAGACACTGTTATCTTGCTTTCCACCCCCACCCTGTCCCCTTGCTAAAGGCATATACTCATGCTTGTCTCCAGATCAAACAGCCCACAGTAACAGACCAGCAGGCTAACTTCAACCCTGCGCCAAGGACGGAGAGCCTCAAACCTTACGCTCCTAGCAGGAGAGAGACAGATCACAATCCAGGAAATGAGACGACACAGAGAGGACAACAACTTAAAAACTCATCATCTCCCGGGCGCCTCCAGTCCTGCTAAAATCAAGGTTCAAGGTCATTCTGTCTCTGTTGCAATCACAGCTTCTTGTTTCCTGGCGGTATCATCCTGAGCCAATCGCTTACCAGTGTCCCAGTTCCCTCGCCTCTAAAATGGGGGAAATAAGAGCACGGACCACACAGGATTATTGTGAGAATTAAATGTAAAAATCTGAGAACAGTATCCGGCGCATTGTAAATGCTCCCAAAAGTTCGTTTATTTTAATTTTTATAAATTCATTGTTTTACATTCACATTCGATATACCTCTACATGTACAAACAAAGCAACATAGTACCAGCTAAGTCCAAACACCCGTCTGAGTTCATTGATATGAGAATCTACAGACTGGATTCATAGCAAGCACCCTCCTTAGGCGCTCCTCCCCATCTACCCACCAATCTTCAGCAGTGACACCCGGCCTCCCTCTGAGCCTTGCTGAGCGTCTGCCAGTGCCTAGTGCTGTGATGAGCTGTATCTCCCCTTAAAGAAAAAGTTAAAAGAAGGGTTAAAATCTCAAAAGCCTATAGGGACCAGTCAGGTAAACGAGATGAGTAAAGGGAGCCCAATGTTAGACATTAAGGAGTAGTGGGGACTGGGGCAAACTGGAGAACCCACGCCCCATCGAAAGGAAGAAGTTGCTACCAGTTCTAGTCAGTTTTTGCCAGGGTGGAACGTAGCTTCAAGGTTGGCACATCTTCTAAGTTTTCCAAGGAAGCCAGGATTCCAAATCTTTATGTGAAATCTCCTGATTTTCAAGTATCATCACATAATTCATTATTTTTAAAACATCGCGGTCCAAGCGAAAAATACCTGTTTGCACTCTCTGAGTTGAGGGGCAGAGCCCTCCCAGCTGCCGCTGACTGCCGGGCGAGTGCTCTCTCTGTGCAAGAACCAGGACATCCCAGCCAGGCCGAAGCCACGAGTTACTCCAGACAGAGCTTTCATTAAGCTCCAGTTGGAGCACCTATTACTTGGTAAAAGCTTCGGAGAGAAGAGTGATGGAGAGAATCCGCTGAGGGCTGGCATGGTGGAGGAAAGCTGAAAGGAGGTCAGCTTGGAGCGGGTCAGAACTAGGAAAAACTGAGGAGCAGTCCAGAAGCCAGAGGAGAAGTGGAGGGGAACGTGGAGGGAGAAGGAACTGAAAGCTCGAAATCAGCTTTGCCGGTTCGACTGCGGATCCAAAACGCAACGCTGCAGCAGTCTCTTCGGGAAGGTGTTCGGACACTGCTCGGGGCCGATGGCACTTGGAGACAGCACTGAGGACGCAGGGTCCTCCCAGAAGGAAGGACAGTGCACAGTTCTCTCAATACGGTCTTAACTTGGCTGGAAGTCCTCTACCCCAGCACACAGATCTGCTTACATGCAATCTCCTCCCTAAACTAACTCTTCTAGGGCCGGAAATGTGTCTTTCGTCTCCCAAGCTTGCTCAGTCCTTAATGAACACGTGTCTCGTGATCCAATAAATGAAACCGAAGAACAAGAAGCAAGACATCAAAGAATAAGGTGAACGACTACACTTCCAAAACCGAACGCTGCACCCAGGAAAAGGAAAATGAGCAAGGGCTTCGATGCTCATTACATGCCGCGGCCATGAATATTGGTGTTTGCACAGAGAACACTTCACGTGGGGTGCTGAGAAAAAGGCAGTGACACCCCAAAACCCCCAGGGAATGGACACCATGCACAATCTATCAGAGCCCTGTTGGGTATCTTGGATCATTCTAGAATGAGAGTCAGATATAATCCTTCTCCTGCATAGATGGTGCAGCTGAGAGGCTCAGGGCATTGAGGGGACTTGTATCCAGTCACAGAGCTAGTCTAGTGACACAGGCTGGACCAAAACCCAGGTCTCCTGTCTCCTCACCCTGGACTAGGAGCGGTGCTGGGGCTGGGGTGAAACAGGTGAGACGCTCACCTGGGGCGCAAAATTTAAGGAGGTATCAAAAAGCCCATTAATCAATAAATAACATTTTGATACTTTTTTTTTTTAAGCAAAACTAGTACAAAACAAATCCATGATGAGCAAAAGATCAACTTTTAAAATAAAGACTGAGGTACAGTTGGGTCCTTTGTATGCCTCAACTCCGCCCATTGCACGCTTATCTTTGCCCAGTCCAGGAGTCCAGAGGTGACAATTGACTGGTGCCTGAAAGAACTGTTTATATGGAAATCTATGGGAAGGTCACTCCAGGCAGAAGGACAAAGGTTGGCTGGAGTATCCAAGGCACAAAAAGGAGGCTAAGTGCTTGGAGCAGAGTGACTATGGGAGAAGTGGCAGGCAAATTCACCCCATCCCCATTCCCACCCCAACTCGCAGAGCGACACTCATCCTACAACAAGCTGCACCCCCGGCACCACCCCCAGCCCCGCCCCCCGCTCCCCACACACAGTTAGATCCCCTGCCAGGAAAGCTAAGGAAGAAAATCCCACCTCCCACCCCAGACTCCCAGCCTAACTCCAACTGGTTGTCTTGCAAATCGAAGCCTTTTCATCTCAAGGGAGAGGATGGATTAAAAAAAAAAAATTGGACAGCTCTGGATAACCTTTCATGCCATAGAAAAACAACCCAGAACTTTATGACTTACTGACTGTTGGTTATGAATGGGAAGGAAAGCATATTCTTAACCCGCTGACAATGACTCCCTTTTAAGGTGTTTCCTCGGGACCAGAGACACCACGTCCTTTTCTAGCCCCCAATACTAACAGCAGCTTGTTGCTCAGTGACAAGCTGGGGCTTTTTAGGTCAGACAGGCCTGGATTCAGATGCAGCTTTGCCATTTATTCTGTGACCCTAAACAATTTATCAAGGTAAAAGGTCATGCTTCCAGGGGCCCGGAGTAACTTAAATGATGTGGGCTGCGAGGCAAACAATAGACAAAGGGGAGGCCGGGACCGGCACCGAGCACACTGCTGGAATAAGGGATGTCGGCCAGCTCTCCCAAGGTTTCGAAAGAAAAAAATGTATGTGAAATCTCCCGATTGTTAAAGGTTGGCAACTAATTCAAAATTTAAAAAACATTTTTTTAACCCAGCAGGGTCCAGTAAAACAGGTCTGTGAGCCAGAGCCCACCTACTGGCCCAGTGTGTGCCTCTGACGTCTACGAATTGCCCAGCCACCCGCCTGGCACCAGCCAGGTGCTCAGCGAGGGACCATCGCTCCCATCTTTTAAGAAAACTTTCACAGGCATCGTCAACATCTACTTCCACACCACAGCTTGGGAAGGAATGCTTCTCAGGAGGAAATGGAAGATATGAAGAGCTGAAAATCTGGAAGACTCTAAAGGGAGGGAGGAACAGCGCAGAGGGAATTCCTTAAAAGGATTTAAAAGCATTTTATTGGACATAGTTTAGCACAAGTCGGGGATAAGATCAGGCAGTAATTTAACTCCTGGGCACAGCAAGTGAGTCTGTGTATGTGGGGTGAATGGGGAGGAGCGGGGTGGAGGGAAGGATTGTCCTTGCTGATGGTCTCCACCCAGTGCTTCAGGGTCTTCTGTCCACGGGTCACCCCAACATTTGACTCAGGTGCACAGTGTTCTAATAGGCCCAGCCGGGGGACAGCCCCTCCCTAGATGTGCTCATATAGCCCAGCTGACCCTACACAATTGGAAGCAAGGCTCGAATCTCCCAGTGGATTCGGTAGCTCACGTGCTCTTTGAAGCCAGACCCAGCTTGGTTGAGTTTCGAGTCTTCAACATCAGTGGTTCTCAAAGTGTGAGCCTCAGACCAGAAGCATCAGTATCACCAGGGAACTTGTGAGACAGGCCCCTTCCAAACCCACTGAATCAGCAACTCCGGGGTGGGGCCGACCACTGGGGTTTCACAAGGCCTCCAGAGCATCTGGATGCCCAACAAAGTTCGAGAACTCCTGCTGTACGTCCTCACCCTCTGGTCTTCGGCAAGTTCTAGGTCTCTCCGAGATGACCGAGTCTATCCCATAGGACTGTCCAGAGCGTTCCCCCAACATATATTTCAGAAGTCTGGTCTGTCTGTGCCGGCAGTGTGGAATATGCTGGGGGACAGCACACAGCCCCGGCCCTTAGTGGGGAGACAGACGATGAGCAAGGAAGGAAGATATAAAGGCCAATTTGCAGCCGTCCCAGGAAGGCAGGGCCTGACCCTCCACACAGAGCTGTGTTTCTCAAAGTGTACTCCAGGGACCCCTGACCGCCAAAGCCTCCCCAGTGTCCCTCCTGTCCCTCAGACATGGCTCCCTCTCTCCTGCTTCAGGCCCACTGCCTTTGCTGTTCCATCCACCTGCAAAGCTCTCTTAACCAGACCTTCCAAAAAATCTCCTTGGTCAGGGCTCAGTGTGTCACCTTCTCACAGGTCTATCTGAAGTGGCCTCTCTCCCTCACGCTGTACTCTCACCTCAACGGCGCTCCTGGTCCTGCCCCTCCCCCGACAGAAGGTGAGTTCTTGGGTGGTGGCTTCCAAGGGGCCCGTGAGCCAGGGTCTACCGAATGATTGAACACCCTAACCCTATTTCTCTTCATGACATCCCATAGAGTGGACACCCATAACTCCGGAGCCTGCTCCCCACCCTGAAGGAGAAGGCCACAGGCGGGGCCCACGGAGAATTTCTCCACGTCCCTTCCTGGTTCTCTGGTGGTGGGAAAAAGCGGTAGAGACTAGACAGAAAAGAGGGAAGGAGGGTGACAGGCGGAGCGACGCTGTGGCGCCCTCTGGGGCAGAGCCCTCCAACCCCACCCCCAGCAAAAGCGCGACTCCTACCAATTCTGAGGCGAGGCGTTGCTCCCAGCAGGCTGCCTGCGCACTGGACGCGGGCCCCAGGGCCTCAGGACCCGCGGGCGACGAGGCCACGCACCCCTGGAGGGAAGGGCACCTGGCCCGGCACGTGCTGTCTCTAGGGAGCTGGCTCTGCAAGGCGCCTGCAGTCCCTGGCCCACAGTGGCATGAGGGGCGCAAGGGCAACGGTGCACTTGGACCTCCAGGGAAAAGCACAAGTCGGGGCGCGTGTGAACCCCAGACTGTTGAAGGGCGTGGGAAGCGCGGCCACGGGGCAGTGACCCGTGTGGACCCCGGGGCAGTGATGCCGGGGGTCCAGGACCAGCGGCGCACTTGAAACGCCAGGGAAAGCACGAGACAGGGCGCGCGACCCCTGGAGGCTGGCGCACGGCGGAGCGCGGGAACCACGCGGC